TTTCAAGAATAATTTGAACATTGAACTGTTTAATAAGTACATTTAGGATGATGAGGAATTGTGTAGTGTCCCAAACTATTTGTAATAAGAATGTTATGCGGTCATTTTATAGGTAAGGTTTTATTAGCATAGACGGAGACATATATAGGAAATAAGGCTTGATTTATTTGACATTGTAAAGGCATGTATACATACAATTAGGCATTCCAAACTGAATGGCTACCAGTGGGTTTTGACGGGTTATGATATGGCAAAATTATGGCAACCCTGTAGGCCTGGTGATTTGACAAGGTCAATGAAATAGATAGTTACATAGATTGATTATCCATATTTTTCAAAATAAACATAAGCGTATGCCTCGAACTAAAAATGTAAACAATTATTTTTTTTTAATATCTAAAGGCTAAAAATTGGTTTTAAAACACATTTTTGCTAAACCGATTCAAATTAATAAATATTTGTCAGGCAATATGGCCGTTTGTAAACGACCAGCTTTGAGCAATCTTTATAACTATATATGTATCATTGACCCTGTTAATGACAACATGACAACAGGGTTGCCATATCTAAACTGTCATTACCCACTGGTAGCCATTTGGACAGGTCGTTGGAATGCCTAATTGTCAGTGATACCAGTTCTAAAAAAGTTGTCATTCCGTTATGCAGACCTTAGATAATATAATAGCAGATAGGCCACCACTGCATAAAGTTATACAATATTAATCTCGCTATCATATAATCAGTATCTTTCTTTCTAATGAAGGCTTTCTCACTCGTTTTAGAATTTTCAGCAGTAGCGTACCGTAAAACAATTTCGCTGGGTCATTTTAAATGCGAAAATGTTGACCAAATAGAATATAAAATAAAATGTTTTAAAAGGTAGGTAGGTGCATTTTTAATGAAGTGAAAACAAAATATGACTTTTTTGTTATGAATATAATATTAGCAACAATTACTTTTAACACCACAACACGAACAAATTTAAATTAAACACTGGAATAATTGTCTGAGAAAAGCTTTGTAAAACTGACAAATACAAACAAAGAGATAGAGATATTATTCTATTTCTCTCTAATTAGAATTCTCGACCATATTATCATGGCGACACAAACATTGTTTACTGTCCTCTCTTTACTACTTACTCACTCTGAGATGCAGACAACTCTGAAAGTAGGAGTGGCGTGCAATCCAAAGAGTATGTTTTGGTAAGCCTCTTTTTGTATATTTATATCTAAAATAAAGTTGTTTTACTGTTTTTTATAAGTTTTTTATTTCATAAAGAAAGCTAGTCGTGACAATACCGATGTAAAAACTAGAAAGAAGATATACAGGGTGTTTCAAATAGGCATGTCATAAATTCTTCCACAGATAGATTACCAAAAAATAAGTGGATTTGGCTATATTTATCTATATCAAAAACTGGCTCCTAACAAAGTTACAGGGCGTTAAACTAACATTGAAAAAAACGTTTTTTTTTTTTTGTAAAAAGTTTGCAGTATCTTTCTTAGTTAACGAGCTATTTACAATTTTTTAACTGAATTTCTAGAGCAATTCGTCCGTCCTGGACTTAACATATCAACAAAACTAAGAGTAGGTCAGGAGTTATTGTACAAAAAACGCATATAAAAATCAATAATGTGTCTAGGGATGTGCTTGAGCCGCCCCTGCAAAAAATAACTCTTTTACTTATATTTTTGTAAAAAGGGTATTTATATTGGATTGGCGCCATAAAAATTGTGTGCCGCCCTTGGTTCACCATGCCACTGATAAAAATACACGTCAGTTTGGAAATGTATTTATTAAATTTAATAGTAATTAAATAAATTATTTTTTTAATTAAACAATTAACAAAAAATTAACAATTAAAAATAAACACTTGATAATAATTATTATACATATTTTATAAACTATTTAATTTAGTAAATGTTTAACATGTCCTCCTCCTTCTTGAATACAAAAATATAAATAAAAGAGGTGGTTTTTGCAGGGGCGGCTTAAACACAGCCATAGGCACACCACTGATTTTTATATGCGTTTTTGTACAGTAACTTCTGACCTACTCTTAGTTTTATTGATATGTTAAGTCCAGGACGGACGAATTGCAGTTAGAAAGTTGTAAATAGCTCGTTAACTAAGAAAGATACAAAGTTCATTTTGCTATAAAAAAAATTAAAAATTTATAGTTCTTTTTGATTTTAAGATCGATAAAGCAAGTTTCTTTATGACAAAAAAAATTCGGGGGGTTAGAAGGTATCCAACCCCCCAACTTTTTTTAAAGGGGTCGCTTTAATTTTTTTTGCTCCTTGGAATTTTGGGCCTTTAAATCTACAGCACTGGCAAAATTTCAAAGAAAAATTCGCAACAGCAAACTTTTTACAAAAAAAAAAACGTTTTTTTCAATGTTAGTTTAACGCCCTGTAACTTTGTTAGGAGCCAGTTTTTGATATAGGTAAATATAGCCAAATCCACTTATTTTTTGGTAATCTATCTGTGGAAGAATTTATGACATACCTTTTTGAAACACCCTGTATAATGCTTGGCATTCTATATTATACTCTTATTTAACAGACCCCCCTTAACCCCCATTTTTAATCAGATTTTTTTCAAAATCCGAGGTCTTCTTTCCCTTGTAGAACTTGATTTTTGCCAAAAATTTCAAGTCGATTTAACCCCCCCCCCTCCATTTTTATTCAGATTTTTTAAAAATCAATAGGCTTCGTCCCGATATAAATCTTGATTTTTCCTGAAATTTTCAAGTTGATATCATTTTTCGTTTTTAACGTATCAAAAGACGTGACATGGGACGGACAGACTAAGTAAACCTATAATAATACTCTTCACAGACTAATGTGTAGAGTATAAAATATTGATAATAATAAATGGCTTTATATTTTTATTTGCTCTTCATGTATTTTTTTTTAACAATGATCTAGAATAACAAATTCGCAATTTAGCACTTTCAAATCAACGACGAACAACTACTGGACTAATTTTGTTCATAAAAATCGAATTGTTAACATTCACGGTGCTACGTAGTTGTTAAATTACGCTGTTGCTAGGTACACGTTAAAGTGTACACAAATCAAAAAATTATATATACGCGAAACGTCATATTGCTGTGGTGGGAGGTGTTTGTGTGAATGCATGTTGTTTGTTTTCATTTACGTCGTGACTAGCAGCTAGCAGTAGTATTTTATAAACCTTAGAAGCAAATTTCACATACATGAACAAATAATAATAATGTCGCGACAACAAGAAATTGAAGCAACGAATTCTCGTAGGGTGGCGGCTTCGCCGCCACCAGAAAATTTCGATCCATACCTGGCTACGCCGATCGGCATGGACATAGCTCACCTACTCTGTCAAGACGTTTCGTGTGTATATAACTTTTTGAATTGCGTACAAGTTAGCATGTACCTAGACACTGTGGTTAAATTATTAAGAGTATGTGTGAGTTATGTTAAAAGGATTGTTTATGGTTATAATTCGGTATATTGACTTAACATAAGGCTCTAAAACGCACAAAAGGCTTTCCAAATTACATTAACTAAGTAGTTTGCATTCTTAATGCCAGTTATTATCAGTTTCATGTAGGTATTTTTTTCGTTGCGACTATCATAGTTGAAGGTGAATTTTGAGATATGAAGATATGAGATATGAAGCGTAAAGAATGCGTCATTTTCGTAAGTAATGATTCATTCATAAAACGCATGCGCGCTCCTCAGACAAACTAATTATTCCCACTCAAATTAGCAGTCGTTTCGTTCTTTCTAATGCGGCAGCCGATGCGTTAGCTCGGTCTGCGTACTATGAAACACAATCTGAATTATTGAAATAAATAAGGGTTTAGTTTTGAATGAGTGGATTAGTCTAGTAGTTTTTCGTCGTTGTTTCAAAGAATAAAAATTATCCATAATAAATATTTTTCAAAAATATTCTAGGGTGAACAAGGCCATTCACAAAATATAAAAATATTTGTTCAATTTAAATATTTTTTTAGTTTTATTTTCTTAACAATTATTGACAAAAATAAAAGAGGACACATTTTTTGTTTTTTTTTTATTTTTTACAAAAAAAAATATGAGAGGATAATGCACATGTTTTTAACGATAAACATATTAATAAAGATGCACTTTCCTCCATGGCGCGTACCTACCTATACATCCGCCGTTGACCCTCAATTATTGTCAGTTCCCTTCACTTACGAAGTAGCAAATACCATTGTATTTATTTAGATATTTAAATAGTAATTAATGAGTTTAAATTGCCATAGACGTAGATACAATAATTTTTTACAGGATAGTTAAAGTTAACATGAAGTAATATAAAAGAAATTGTTTTCAGGCACAATTAATCTACCTATATATTATAAAAGTATTTATATCCAATATTTAGGTACCTATTTAAAACCACTAAAAAACATTGTAGGTACATTAGGTTTGTCCTCGTTTCTTTAAAATTTGCTACAGACTGTCCAGTGGAACAGTTGAGTTACAAATTTCGTCACGTAATGCAAGTTTTAAACTTTCCACTGGTCGACTACCTACCAACTACTTCTCCAATAGTTTCCAACATATTTTTGAAGGCTAAAGGCTATTATTACTTTTATTATATATGTGTACGCGTCATATCCTGTATTTTGTGTTATAAATTTAAAACCGTATCAGCATAAATAATCCCACTACCTAGTTATTATACAATCTTATCTTTCTCTTTAAATATACAATATACCTCCATACGACGTTGGACACGTAGAATAAAAAGTGAATGTACGAATCAGCCGATACAAATCCAAAACTATTTCTATAAACTCTCAAACTTTCGTGCAGTGCATCGTTACGTTAAATTTAGCTCGACGCGAGCGAGACGCTGCGGATTTAGATTCCAGCATCTAGTAGTCCGTGGTCAGCCATTCCGAAAATGCCTCAGCGTCGTTTTTTCTAATAGTTTTCAGTTGATTTTTAATTTTAAGGACGAATAACGCGCTATAAATCGACAAGATGGATCCGGAAGCGTTTCTGGACATCGCCAATCAGGTGGTGAAGCTGAAAATGTTTCCTTATTTTGACATAGCACATTGCACTCTTTGTGCGTTGTCGGTTAGGGAAGACCTTGGAAGCGGTAGGTATTGTAGACGCTATGTTGCCACATGTTATAGGCTGTTAGAGATAGTAGGAAATTGTTTGGAATGTGAAAATTTGCTTTAGTAAATGATGCTTTCTGCTTTTTTTTAACTATAACCTAATCTTTTATTTTACTGCTATATAATTAATCCTGTGGACTAGGAAAGTGAGAAAATACGTAACTCGTATTTCACTTTGATACACAGGATTAGATCAAATATCGGTCGGTCGCCATTTGTGTATTAGCAGATTTTTTACGAAAAGTGAATGAAAGACGTGTTATTATTAAGTGATTACAATAATGGTAGTGTGTTATTCAGATCATGGCTGTAAATGCCAAAGTAAAAAAAGGAAACTTTATTACATTTTACAGGTAAACTATATTAAACAAGTAAATAACACGACTGTAAAACTAGAAATTATTTTTAAACTGGCTAATATTTCAAATTTTACCGTTATAATCTAAAGAATAATGGGGCATGTTCAAAAATTTTGAAATTTTTTTTATGAATAATAGAGTTGAAAATAAAATTACATTTTTTTTATTTTTTTTTTATCTATTCATTTGCCGGAGTTATGAATTTTTTTAAAATTTATGACGTCACCGGGAATAGACCAATAGGAGCTAGCGCACAACGTTGCCGGCTAGAAGGTTTACGAGAAGTGATGTACGTTCGTTTGTGTACTCCTTCTTACTTTTAGACTTCTAAAACATCGTTAAACAAATATCTTTTAAATATATAATATCAAATGTTTTTTTAAAGTATTATTTCTGTTTAAACTTTTACCATATTTAAGGTTTCATTGTTTTAAAAGTCACTTAATAATTCAGAAAATGGCAAAATGGCAGCACTGTGTATGGCATCTGTCATCATAGTGTCTCCATCAAGAATTTATTTGGAATTTGATTGTTTAATTTTGTACTTTTTATAAATATTATGACTACGAAAAAGTGTTTTGTTCCAGAATGTGATAATGATTCACATTCATCTTCAAAAATATTTATTAGTGTTCCTAGAAATTTGGAAAGAAGAAAATCAACCTTCTACTAGCGATGTTTCTCGTGAACTTTTTAATAAAAATACACCGGATTATCAAGATGTAGCAGCAATTTCTGCTAATTGTCCCCTTCAGGAAATTGAAAATAAGGATACTATAAATTCTTAGGTGTATAACCTAAAAACCCTTCTGGAAGAAAATGCAGAATCTCCTGAAAGTTTTGAAGATGCCGAATTTATTCATCATTTTGTGGAAGAACTAGTGATAAAGAAATAATGTAAAAATGTGGGTATTTAAACAAACTGGTTCCTGGATCCCATATAATGGCAGATAGGGGTTTCAGAATAATCAGCTACTTGAAAACATGGGATACACTTTAGTAAAGCCACACCTAGTGTATCACAGAATGAAAAAACTTCTCAAGAAGATGTACAATTAAGTAAAAGAATAGCATCTCTAAGAATACATGTGGAAGGAGTTATAAGAAGGGTTAGTTAATTTAACATGTTAAAACCACATTCGTGTGTGAATTTTAAGCAAGTACATTTACTTAGTAATATCTGCATAATTGCTTGTTAACTTACAAGAACCTATTTTGTAAGAGTAAATATTAATTTAATAAATTTTTTTGTTTGTTTTTTTTTAATTTAATTTACCTAATTATCACATTTCAGGGATTATAATGAGTTTTTAAACAGCCAATGTAATTTTTGATAAAAATTTAACTTTTTGAGCAAATTGAAGAGGAATGAGTACCTGTATATGCATAGATTTGTTTGGGACTGAAACTACCAAAACAAAGGCACCTATTTACAGCAGTTTAAAATGAAACATTTTAACAAAAACGCCTATGTCACAGTGATAAATATTAAAAACCAAGTTCAGTTGAATGTGGTAGCAAAGTCTATATATTCCAATAAATCGGGTAACTACATGTGGTATCACTGGTGATAAATTTAAAAATATCACAGTTCTTGCCACCTTTTTCAAAAAACCAGAAAGTGTGCCTTCTTATGAAAATGACAACAGTGATAAATGTGAAAAAAAAATTTCATGTTGCTATTCGTTATTACGATAGTAAAACATGTTTGCAGTTCCGTTTATTTTTTATGAAAATCTAAGTAAAAACAACCAATGTCAAAGGGTTTTAATTTTTTTTCTGTCAAACCAAAGATATCACAAAATTAAAAATTGATCATAGGTCAAGCTGAAGTAATACCTTTATTAATAGTAGCTTTAAAAAAGGAGAAAGAATAATATTGACTTAAGTTATTATTATTAACATTGGTGATTTTTAATAAAAACTTCAATTATTGTTTACAAACAAAAATATAAAAATCTGTGAAAATTTTATTTATTAACCTTTTAATAAAAAAATGAGAAAAATGAAGTAAAAAAACAATTTATTTACAAATAAAAAATATATACAAATCCTAAGAACATAAAAGTACTGATTTATTTTCCTGTAGTGGATGAAGAGGTTTCTTTAACAATCTAGCCAAGTGTACATCATTATCAATAACACTGAGTAGATGTTACAGATGGTTCCTCACTTCTTCTATGAAGCCACATGTTTACAACCTCCTGAAAAAAATAAAAGGGTTAGATATGCAGTTACAAAATAACTATATAACCAGCTACAAAATGCCTTATTTTATGTAACAAGACGAGCACTTTACTAGCTCTGAACGAATCCAGTAAAGAACCTCTGATTTTCAAAACTTAAAAAAAACAAGCTCACCACATTTTCACATTTTTGAAATATTATAGAGCTTTTCGAAAAAACTGCTATTTTTAAAAGTACCATTTTTGTTTAAACAGCTATGTCTCATTTTAGGCTATTGAATATTATAAAATAAAAAATTATGGGATGCTTTGTTAGCTTCAAACGAATCCAGCAGAGCACCCCAGTTTTTTTTTTAAACCACACCACATTTTTTGGCTCCTACAATATTATAAAATATTCGAAATTTGACATTTTTAAAAAAAATTCGCAATTCCCTGACTTCAAAGTTTTTTTTCTGAAAACAAATATACTTACCACATTTTTAGGATTTTAAAACAGCCTAAACATGTGTCATAAGTAGTTGTTTTTATATATTAAAAAACTGAAGTGTCCTGCTGACTTTGTTCCAACAAAGCACCCTGTATTATTTAAAAATAGCAATTTTTTTAGTAAAGTTTTACAATATTGCAAGAGTCTAAAAATGGGGTGTGGTTTTTAGAAAAAAGCTTTAAAAAACCGAATTGCTCAGCTGGCTTCTTTCGAAGGTTAGCAAGCACCATGTATTTTTTAAAAATATAATATTTCAAGTGCATAAATATATGGTGTTGCTGTTTTTACAGAAAAAACTTTATAAAACAGAGGTGCTTTGCTGACTTCGTTCGAAGCTATCAGAGCATTTTAAGTTTTGCATAAAACGAGGAGCATAAAATTTTTGAAAAGGGTATAAAAATATGGCATGTTTTAACTCAAAATTTCATAGGTGCTCTGCAGCATTCTTTGGTATCATAATTATTACTAGGTTCACTAACAAAATCTATTTCTAGATTATTTTAACACTTGCTGCGATTACAAAAAATGTCTCTTTATGTCAAAATTAGAAAAAAAATATTTATAAGAATAAAGGGCCTTATACACTGTTTATTATATGTGATATAAAAACAAAAAAGCATAATAAATATTACAAACCTTGAGATTCAACATATCCTAAGCATTGTGCACTAAAAAACAGCCACATCATAAGGTTTTTGCTGTACTTTATGTTTAGGTGTAATTTGTCTCCTTCTCTCTTATGGAAAAAGTAAATATCTCCATATTCTTGCTTGGCAGATCTAAAAATAAAACCTGAGATAAATATGTTTTACTATAAAGTGTACTGCTTCATATAAACTGTAACTACCTACCATTAAAACAATTTATAAATAAAGTTTTACCTTTCTATCTTTTGGAAACTGAGTATTGTTAAAAAATGCAGTAATCATCTCGGTAATCATATTTTCGTTTACAATGGGAAAAATACTTGATTCAACTTTTATAAATACAGCTGATAAATTCATATTCTTCTTCCTTTATATATCCTATATCCCACAGGATAATTTACCCAGATAAATGCAGATTAATAATAAAATTAAACCAAAACAAAAAACTAAGGTTAGTTGTTAGGTGCTGTCAATTTTTAAATGTCACTTAGATGTGCGTTCACTTCGACATTCTGTATGTAGGTTTGTTCGTTGGCTTGGTTTTGTAAAACAAAAAAAAACTTCGACACAAGCTGATTGGTCTATTCCCGATGACGTATAATTTCAAATTTTAAATTTCAATTGGGCTTAATTTAAAAACTTTTAGCTTTTTTAACGAACTGATTATTTAGAATAACTTGTATAGCGACTAACTATTACAATATAGTTTATAAAACAGCATATCTCACATGTGAACATGGCCCATTGATTAAAATTTGGGGGCAAGCAGTTGATATTTTCATTCAATAAAACCTTGAAAACAACTAATTTTAATATACAGGGTAGCTATTAAAGATGGAACCAAACCTATAGTGCTTAAACGGTTCAACATACAACACCCAAAATTTCAGAATTTCAACTAAATATATTTTCGCATATTTTAACCCAAAAATTATTTTTTTTATAATTACAAAATTTTAAGCATTGCCGCCATTTGGATTTTTTTAAATAGCAACAGGTCATGTGATATACCATTTGAAAGGGTTTAACCCCTGATTACAAAAATGTATCACACATGGGGTCTAATCCACAACAAATGTTATTGTTATATTGACGTCTTGTGTCAAATGCATAGCCTCCTACACTCCCTATTAATAATATCCTGTCTGTTGTGTTTAGACCCCATGTGTGATACATTTTTGTAATCATGATGTTAAACCCTTGCAAATGGTATATCACATGACCTTTGTTGCTATTTAAAAAAATCAAGATGGCGGCCATGCTTAAAATTTTGTAATTATAAAAAAAATAATTTTT